TGACGGCCATCCTTGAATATAACGCAGATTAATTGGACTATGTTTCCCATCTATTATATAATATGAAGAAAAAAAAATCTACAAAAAAGAAGAAACGATTTTATCTGTGGATTTGATTTATAATAAATAGTCATTTAGAAACTTAAGTTACAATTTAGCATCAATAAGCCACTTAGTATTTTTTTTAATGATTTTAATTTTATTTAATTTTTGTGTTCTAGAGGTAGTGCGTTATAAATTTTTTGACTATTATAAAAGTAATTTGTTTGTCCAACAGATAAATGAATTTTTTGTAAAGTTAAATTTTTCTCCAAGTTTAAAGCGTGTTTCATACTCGTGAGTTTTTGAATTAACCAGTAAGTTATTTTTTTTAAGATCAAAAGGGATGATTTATAGTATAAATTTTTTATGTGAAGTATTTTAAATTGAGGAAAAATTAAGTCAGATGGATATCGCAGATTTAACTTAAATATAATTTTCAAAATTCTTTTTTGTATTACGTGAATGGGGCTGAAGAGTTGTGTGATAGGCAGCACCCCAACCAATTATTCCATAAGATATAAGTGATTGTACCAGTGAAAAATAAGTAGAAAGAAGTAATTGCTTATCAGATATTTTAGTAAGTTGCACACACGTAAATACATACACAATACACACTTTTCGATATGGAAGTTTCACTTTAGATTTGAGTCAATATGAGTTCTTAGGTAGGTAACTCCACCTAAAGGCCAGGTAAGAAAAACCAGTTTTATATTTAATGTTCGTCACATTCTGTGGGAATTCTCGTCAAGTTCAACTCAATACACTATCCCATCCTTCCCAGCGTCTTTTTTATTTTGCATTTCACACCTTTATCTCCGATACGAATTAGTTTGTCATATTACAAGAGGAGTTTTATAATATAGCAAGCAAAATAATTAAAATGTGATAAATATTGACACTTTGGTCTCCACGTAGTCCAGACCTGGGTGGCTAGCTGAGAGGTCACTAACCTCCACCTGCCTCCTTGTATGGTGTAGAAAACCTTATCGGGCAAAATGTCGATCATACACCAATTAAACTGCACACCCAAAATTGACTTTTTATTTGTTTAGTGTTTATGATTTTCTTTCAAATTTTGTGTAGCAAACTGTAATTTTTACGTTTGATATTAACATTCGTAGAAGTAAATTAAGGACATAAATAAAAAACCAACCAAAATGCTGAGGTCAAACGGGACTATGCATTGACTTTATATCTAATAGTGTCGATGGAAATTCTCACAGAATGTGACGTATATTGAATATAAAATCTGATTTTCTTTAAATTGTGAAAATAAAATTTAATTTAAAAAGTTATTCATTGCAGCTAAAATCTTCAGAAACGATGTTACAAAAAACTTTTAATTAAATTTGATTTTTTAAAGAAAACCAGATTTTATATTCAATATACATCACATTCTGTGATAATTTCTAACAAATATTTTTTTTAGTAACGTTTCTACTTTGCATAAATGTTGATAGCAGCATAATTATACCGCGAGATACACTTTGAATGATTGTAAAAAAAAGAAATATAATTTACTGAAAATTAAATGAGCATTGGGCTAAAACATGTGGAATTAGTTCCCACAAATTGTATCGACATTTTTGTAAAATTCTATTTAATTCAAAATAATTTCAAGTAATTTCAAACCCAGAGTTTATGGCTCATCAAAGAGAGCATTATAGTTTTGGTTCAACAGGCTAGTGTAACACAATTTACAGGTTAGTTTCGACGTAGAATCCCTCTTTATTCAAGTCCAGATTCCTGGAACTCACTCAAAACTATCTCTGAGTTACTGAACCAAAAATTAAAAACCTTCTCTCCAATAATTTCCACATTTGAGATATTAAGTGATTTATGTTCCATCACCAAATCTTCACCGCATCTACGACAATGACTGCCAAAGCAACCCCACACTTGCCATTCAAATCATCCCTAGACATAGAACAAATGTTCTTAAGAAATATAACGTCAAAACATCTTCGATCCGTCAAAGACAAAATTCCGTGCCAGGAGCTTACGACAGAAGAATACATTAGAGAGACAGGACCATAAATATCCACTAAAAATTATAAAACTTAAATTATTGCATGTAATCAATTCTTCTACCAAAGAAAATTCCGAGAATCCATAGAAATTGATAAGTAATCTAACAATCTTTTTATTTACAACTGACAACCCTAAATAGTAAACGCATCTCGTTTAATATTAAAAAAAAAACTATAAAATTTGCTATGCGTTTGCAGACGTCTATTTAGAGAGTGAACAAATACAAAAAAATAGTTATTAAGATTTTAACATTAAATTAACACATCCTATATATTTTAAATATACGGAAAATATGCAACCAAATACAAAATAACAAATCAGCGTCTAATCCGTATTAAACTTAGTGGTCACATGAGCCATGAATTGTTTAAATTATATTCCAAACCGAAAAATAGAAACATCAACGACGTGGTTGTAAATTATTGTTTTGTTTTTTACAGATCAATATGTTAATCCTATGTCATAAGGAATTTGTTGCGACTATATTCTAATGCTTAATTATATCTAGAAACCATTAAAAGGTGGCAAATCTATAGCTAATTAGTGAATGTGTTGATTAGCGAAGTGCGATTGTTTTTAAGATCGATATAACGATTTTTTAAAATTATTATTGTAATTTAAACCCCATATCCAATATTTTCTTTTCTCTCCTCCAACATAAAACAAGAAACTATAAGTACATATTTGAATTTACCGTACATCACCTTTTCTCCCCATATTCGGCATTACGTGAAATTAATATTTAAACTACATCACTGCCTATAAGCAAAAACACAAGATGTATTGAAGAATGAAAAATTAACATAAATACTAAATGATTACCCAAGAGTAAGAATCAATCGAATGAACACACAACGGGATAAAAAAAAATTACTACATACCTCAATCCAAAGGTGCATTTTGTAAATTCTACAGAATTAATTGTGATGAATAGAGAGATATTAATTAGACTGTATTCAGTTTACATCAAAAAGCAAAGGAGCACGACGTTAAAATAATATACAATATAGTGAGCGTTTCAAAATTTTTAATCTTACACATAAAAAAATAAATAACATGTAAAAGTTTCCTGATTATATTTAATATTAACCAATGTGGTCTTAAATTTATTTATATAAAACATTTCCACTATTGGAAATTTCTTGTCGTTAGCTTCTCTACGTAGGATTTTAAGAAAAATGATGCTAACAATATTTAGTTTTCCAAATTTATCAATATTCGTATGGTTGTTTTTATGTTAGTTTATACGTTTAGCATAACAAACATTCCTGGAAGTGCAATTTTTTTGGAAGGTAACTAAGAGGGTTCCATAACTGCGCAACAAATTCTGCACGGATTAGCTTGTATTACAGAAGGTAAAGTTCGCCGGACGATATACCGTTTTTACAACCTTTCAGGGTTTTGACTGCGGAATGGGATTAAGACCTGCCTGTTGTAAAGTAAGAGAGACCATTCTTTTCAGCACGTGTACCACAAGCCAGGGCAGTATTTAAGATGTTAGCCGACAGGAACTGTGACGTACGGATTGTTCCATTTTAAGAGTAGGGAAATTTTCTTTGATTAAACTGTTATAATAATTCATATTAGTGTGCTTTTTATAAATCTTCCTAAGACAGTCCCTACTTGAGGTAGCTCGAGGTCCAGCGACAAACAAGTTGAGATTGTGGTTGATGACGTAATAATCGTTGATGATGAAAATCCGTCAAATTGAAATTTGCCTGTTGCTGCCAAAATTATAATTTTAAATGTGATTTTGTTTTTGAAATCGACCTCTGGGGAAAACTGGAGCCATAAAATTTACGTCTGAGATACTAAAATACCGTATGCGACAGTACGTGTCATAGTTGTGAATGGTGTCCAAGAAATAAAAACGCGGAAAGGCCGTGGGGTCCCAAAAAGTCTATTTGACATGCATCATGTCGGATAGTAGAACAGTTGATATATGGTGCGTATCAGAAGAACAATTAAAACTTTACATGAAGAGTTGCGTAGTTTTTTGAACATTGACTGTTGCCAAGAGAATGTGCGAACGAAGAACTAGTTTTTATTATAAAAGCATCAATAGGAGACAAGTTTTGATATAATCAAGAAGAATATCGGAGTGGAGGACAAGATATTTGAGAGCAATCCAAGAAATTCGTATAAAAAACGTCCCTATCATATATTTAGATGAGACCTGGTTTGATGGGCACTATACCGTGAAGAAATGAGAGACTGATGGTCACAGCAGGATGTGTTCATTGGATGTGCAAAGTTTCGCGAGACAAACCGAACAAAAACATGACAGCAGACATCTTTGACAAATGGTTTTCTGAAAAATTGCTTCCCAATATTCCACCAAAGAATTTTTGTCGTGATCTCATCATCGACTAAAGAAGTGCTTCAAAATTTGTTGCTTGAAAATGATATGTATTTTGACAGTTCCTACACAAATAAGCAGTTGTTGGAAGTCCTTAAGGCGGAAACGTTTGATAAGAAGTATAATGTGGACAAATTGACCATGGAGCGGGGATTGAAACTTGTCCATGTTCCACCATATCATTGCAATTTTAATCCCATAAAACTGATATGGGGACAGCTGAAACCCAGTTTATGGGTATGGGCGTACTAGTTAAAGTTGTAAATTCCAAGAACATCTGATTCTGTCTCTCTTGTCTTGCATTGATCAGATAGTCATTTAGGGTGGTACAACATTTGTTGAAGCGAGATAAAAAAATCTGTATCATTCTATCACATATCGGTGTCCCCCTGTTGGCCAGCACAGTGTTACAATAGAGGGCGCTACGTACTAACGCAAAATAAATCAGAATACAATAATTTTTGATAAGCCGCAACTATGTTTGCGTAATGTTGCGTTTTATAAACAAAAATCGCTTTCAAATCAAAAAACTAATTCATCTATTCATGATCGTTCTTTCTTCTTCCAGCACAGAGAGCGGTTGGGACAACCCCTTTCGCCCGGGAGGCGACCTCTCGCGCGAAGCGGACCAAATAGTGGAGCTGATAAAGGGCGGTAAGCCCATAACCCCGACCCCTGGCAGCCAACCTCACGAATTACCATCCGTGGACGACTCTCCGAACTGCAACAACGGACCGGTAGATAGGGTGGATGCGCTGTCGCCTAAGAAAGCCAACGAATTGGGCGCCACGCCCTTATCCAAAGGTGGAGGGGCAAAAGTCAACGGAAGCGCCAAAGACCCCGCCCCCGGGCAGCTGGACGTTCAGAGGGGTACCATCAAACCGGAAGGGGACGGGGCGCAAGTAGAACACGTGATGATAAAGAAGAAACCCAAGTGTCAGTGCTGTGTAATACAGTAAGTGTTGGCAATACGGCAGTATGGATTCCGGAGATAAAAGAATTAGTGAGATTCGTATTATGTAGACGAGCGAACGGAATGGTCTTGCGATGTAGTTAGTTTAGCGTCAAGGTGCTATTTCGGGGAAGCTTAAGTCGTAAGACCATCCCAAGGCGTATCGTTTTTTAGAATGGTGGACCTAAAATGGAACGAATTTTTTTTTACACAGTTCCATTGCATTAATCTCAATCAAAAATCAAGAAGAATTATGTTCATATTGCTTACTTCCTTGTTTAATTGGAATCTCTCGTTAATTAGCAACATTCATCGCGTTTCAACCATTCTTCAATGAGATTAGGGGCGTAATTGAGTTGGTTGCTTAGTTTTGGTAAAACGATTCTACGATTGTAAATGTGCTGTTTAGATAAGGGTAGCTATAGCTATGTTTCGTTTGATTACACTCACCTACTATAGGACTAACTTTTTTTATATTGTGACACATCTAGGTCTAGTTTATATCGTATAAGGATTTCTGCATGCGTGGCCAACTCCTCTCGATTTTTAAATTTTCTTGCGGATGGCCGATTTTAGTCAATGTGGACATCTAGTCTGAAATAAATAGGAACCAGCACGACCAGATCTTGGAGGATATCCGCTACATTCCAAACTCTACAGATTTAACATTTTATTTGCTCGAATAGTCTAAATATTGAAATACATATTTGGAGCTATTCGCGACATTTTGTTTCCTATTTATTCGCCTACGTTTTCAAGGATTTACAATGAAACGACACATTTTACTTAAACTAAGCAATTTTTTATGTGATTATTACAAAGTATATATATATTTTTACATTCAAACTTTGTAGATAGTAGAAAGAGATCACTGTGAGTTTAACATTTATTATATTTGTACATAGCGATATTCTATTACTTATCGTATTTGCCCTTCATATTTATTTGACTCTGCATCTTTTTATAATAATTATTATTATTGTGCTAGACAGTAATTTTATTTGTTTGCTTTGTACAGTAACCTCATTTTCGGTACTACGCGGTAAAACGTAGAAATTGTTTTTTAGTTTATATCTTTTAATTGAGAACCAGCACATTTACACCCAGTTACGTTGTTAAATGTCCCAAGCTATTACCAAAAATTAGATGATCCAATTTTTTGACCATGAAATATAAATGTGGCGTAAATATTTTGTGTTTTTTAATTTTTGATAATATCTTTTTGTGGCTTTGTGTTAACTAAATCGATGTTCATGTGTGGGTTCATATAATATAATTTGCACAAAACAATATATTGTATAAATACATTCGGGGAGTAAAAAAAAGAACATTATGTAATATATAATATGCAGTGCAAAAGTATAGATTTTAGGTAGTATAGAAAGGAGTCTTTTTGTTTCGAAAAGATAAACATTATGTAAAGATATGCTCGCTTTATGCTTTAAAATGTATAGAAGAGAAAATAACAATTAACGATAATTAGTACCATTTTTCATCCTTTTTTGTCACCACTTTGACCAATTTCATTTTCCTTGTATAAAATTCGCCGAAAGCTGTTCTAGAGCTTTTTCAAACTTTTTTCAATTCATTTACAATTATGTATTATATTGTAATATAAGATATCAACTAATTTGTATACCATGCCGTTACACTGCATTAAATTACTTCTAAAGTTGAGAAGGGTTTTATTTCTGTGCAGATAATTTACCAAATTTACCAAAGATCTATTATATAAGCGAGAAAAAATGCTTTGGATTATCTAGAGCCGCTGAATTATTTAAATAATAATAAATTATCCCTGATTCGCAAATATTTCTAAACCAATTGTAAACAGTTTATAATGAATCAATGGATCTCATGATATTCTAAAGACAAAAAACTTTATATTATCCCGATTATCCGAAATAATGTGTGCCAAAGTGATTTCGAATAATCGAAATTTCGGTAAATCCGATTTTTTTTTTAGAAAATAGGAGTTTGGGATATGTATATCATTAGATCCTTATCATTAGATCGACTTAAAAGACATTTATGAAATATTTTACTTGAATTTATGTATTTACTTGATACATAAACAAACAAATAATTTGGTTAATTTTTGTTATTCAATTTTGTTTTGATTTTATAACTTATATATTCATAAAAGACATGTTAAATGCAACATAAAATCTAAAATATTTACCCCATTTTGTTTTGAGGTAATTTTTAACTGCACTCGTTTGGTACTACTTCTGGCTTTGGCCGCAATATCCTCTAAATGTGACACTTTTTTTTGAAATATTTTCAGTGCCTTCTATTACGTCATCATCAACATCACCGTTTATTTCAATAACATTTTTGTAAGCACATTTAATTATTTTTTTCGTTCGGTGACATTTTTGATGAAAATTTGCCGTAAACTTTCATCATGGTCGGCCTATGCATCTGCGAATTGTCCCTCCTTTTGTTGAATCAATTTTGACTAAGATTTTTGCTTTTAGTTGATTCCAAAAGTTGAAGCTATCCAATATACCACATTTTTCAAGTTGATTTTCTTTAAACATCCATTGAGATCTGCACCCTCATCTACTTCTTCCAAAATATCTGATCCATGAGCTGAATGAGACAAGTTACAGCAGGAGGAAAAAACATGGCGTTTATTTACCCACTTTTAAGTTCTTTCGCACGAAACGCATTTTGTGGGGTATCCGTGTTTAAAAAAAACTATATATTTGTTACGAAATTTTCAAAAAACCAATCCTTAAATAGATTTGCTTTCTTCCAACCGTTTTTTTTTTATTTTTATACAAAACAGTACAAGCGTTAGGACGAATATTCTTGAAGGCTTCCAATTTCCGTTGTTGAAGCTAGGGTACTCGAGGGCAACATTTAGTACTTCAAGTCGGTTTCGTCACAATTGTAGGTCTGGTCTCCTTTTGTTTCGTGAGCTTCATGATTCAGATACATCGGCAGGCAACTTTTCTCCACAAACTTTCAGTTGACGCAGACCATGTCTATTTGTTTGAAAATGGTCCCCTAAATTGGAATTCCACGTTCTCGATTCTGTGTAAATCATAAAAATAAAGTAAAGTTAAATATTTCAAAATAAAACTACTCGTTCTGCGATAATAGTAGACATTATTCACTTGGTACCACTGTCGGCTAACCAAAACAATTCACAGTATAGGGGAACCACAGACGCGTTTCGTATAATGCGTTTTTTCGGAAAATCGGGATTAGGATAATCGAAATTGCGCTGTATATGAACGAGGAGGAATGCACATAAATGCGAGGGTGGATCCATATTATATAAGCAATTAAATTCCTTGAGTTAATATTGTTTGAAGTGACGTTATTCTAATGCAGTGAACATAAAAAACGAAACTAGACATAAATTTTTAATATTTGTATTAATAAACATATTTTCTAAAGGTTTTTTATATTGTATTTTATTTCCCTCGCTTAGGGTTTTTATATATTTTTTTCATTTACGTTGATATTAGCTAACTAACCAAAACTAGGCACCACAACGCAAATAACATAGGTCTACAAAATTAAACTTTTTGACATATTTTTTTTATGATGAAAAACTGATTTTATTTAATTTTGGCAGGCTGATTTCAAAAATTTATTTTTTATTCATTAAAAAAGTGTCATCCTAGTTTAAAAAAAGTGAAAAAAAACTTTACTTATACTTTTTTGAGTGAAATCATCGTCTTTTTGCTACAAAGCGGTCTGTCCGCACATTCGGTTGTGTATTTTTAGGGGCTTATCCCGTTTTAACATCCGGCAGTAGTCCGCTATCATCGTTATGCTCCGTTTACCTTGGTATCGCCGTTCCTTTTCGTTAATGTCCTGGTAAAACCTCTCTCCCTGTTCTTCGCTGCTTTCTCCAAGATTTTCAGGAAAATAGTTCAAGTAAGAAAACAGGAAATGTGTGTTTTGAGAATCCTTGCCTTTGCTCAATGTTCTTATCTGCGGCCCAACAAAAATACCTTCTTTTATCTTGGCACCAGATATGGCTGGAAATTTCTCACACAAATAGTTGAAACACTGTTCATTTTAATCTAGTGCTTTAACAAACTGCTTCATCAAGATAAGTTTGATATGAAGAGAAGACAGTAAAACGTTTTTGGAGTCATCTCTGCTATCTCTTAATACTTTTTTGCTACCAGGTGTAAGACTTGTTCTAGAGGGCCATTCTGTTTGAGTCCAATGTCTATCTCAATGTCTTCTTTCAATGTTTATATGAACTAGAACACTAGAAATACACAATAACGAAAACAACAGCCGCGAACACAGTAGCACGTCGACCAATACGACGAATACCAAACTGCATAAGAGGGTTACAACGCTATATTGACGCTTCTGCGTTAACTCTGTTGCTTTGCAGAGAAATCTAATATTATCCAGTGATAATACCGAACATGGTAGAAGCATTAATATCATAGGAACGTTATATTACTAAAATAACATTTTTAAGATACAGAGAGCTATAAAAAAAACACGTTATAGAGCAAAAATATGGCATTTTTTGGAAAAGTGGCCCCTAAAAATATACAAATAAGCAAACATCTTACAAACATCAAATTCACTGTAGGCCTTTGTAATAGATTGGCGGAAAGATACAAATTTGTTATCCTCTATCTTGAGGTATCTTGAGAACCATCAAAGATAAACATTATATGCAACTTTGATTTTATTGCACTACTTTAGAAAATTATAGAGTGATTTCTAAACAAATGTAAAAGATGTTTCAATATAGAATTTAATTTATAGAATTTAATAGAATTTATTGGCGTGGTATCTTAGAAAACCTGTTTTGATTTTATTTACATTTAAATATTCAAAACGTTATTTACTGTTATTACTGAAAAACAGTAGATTTAATATGTTGTTGTGCACGTCAATGAATTCTAGTCCTATTAAAAGCGGTTTTCAATATCTCATAAGAAAATTAGAACACCAAACTTAGAAATGGGATTGGGATTTATGGTTTCAATGTCAAACCCATACATTTTTGAGATATTCTACTTTAAGCGTATTTTAGGAAACTAGTTTGTGATATAACTTTTTAAGAAGCTTATGTTATTTGCCTTACGCGGGAGCTTGTAAACAAACAATGAAATAACCCAGTAATTTTCCCTCATTAAAAAATTTAAATGGCCCAAATTTATTTATTTAAGCGAACTAGAAGAAAAGTTTTTATATGTATGTTTTCAAATAAGGTTATATGTTCCTTAATGAGAAAGCTTTGGAACACATGGAATATAGATGATGATAGTGGATGTCCATTACCTATATCTATCTATCCGAGGATCAAATCAAGATAAGAGGTACACAATTTGAATAGGAGAATTCCCAAGATAGAAGAAATTAAAGAGTTAAATAATATGTATACGAGGCATTTCCGGAAAAAACGGAAAAAATTCTATAAAGCAGTTCATAAAGAATTTTATTAGGTAGGCATAAGCTTATTATTTATTAGAGAAGACTACTAAACTAGCTACATCACTTACAAACTGTAAACAACAATGCAATTTTTAAAAAGAGAAAACTGATATACTATTGCTACAGTCCTGTCACACGAATTATTCTTGTGTAAATGGTTATACCTACAACTCATTATCCGCCTGTAATTACGTTCTTTCTTTTTGACGTAATTCAACATTTTTGAGAGTCACCTGTAACTCGGGTTTTAATAAAATTTGCAAGAAATTACGGCCATTGTTAGAACAACTAAATATTCTAAAATATATCCCGATTTTCGGGGTAACTATTTTAGGAATGTGCTTTTCCTTCCCGAACTGCTATCGATATTGTGGGTTGCCTACTTTGAAACATTCGATTCGGTGGACCAATTTGCCGATTATAATACTATGTTCTTTTACGTTGTGGACTATAATATATTATTATAATTATACGTCCTTTTTCTAGTATTGGCAAACGATATTTTTTGTACTCGCTGTTCCGATAATTTAAAATTAAAACCTGCTAAGCTTCAGGTCGTATGCTGTGCTGTCACAAAATTCTTTTAGTATTTAATTCAGAGTCCATAATTTTCTCTAGGCAACCGACATTTCACCGACTGCTTCCTTTTTACGTATCTATAAGTTAGGTTTTCGAAAAGGCAATTTGGAATTTTATTGAACACCTAAATTTTCGGGATTGAACAATTATCCCACCGCTCTCGAAACTTTTGAAGAGAACTTTGATCTTTACTTTTTTGTCTAACGGCAGACGCCAGTTAAAGATTTAAAATAAATGTGTGTGTAGTGGTCTACTATATCATAGTATTCAAATTTGACATATTCAAAAATTTATTTCATATTGAATTAGTAAGCAACACTGGATATTCACTTGACACTAACAAGTTATGTTTCGTGGTTAGGGATAAGAGCAATGTTAACTAAGTTAACTAAGTAATCATAAAATATTCAATGATTCAATATTATAAATTTATCCAATTTCCCTAATAACAAAATTGAAATTTATATTTTTATGTTTGCGAATAAGAATTTTTTGTTCCCGCAAATGTTTAGTTTTTCAAAAGAAAAACACAAAAGTGCTAAATATTTCGCGGGTTGATTTTCCGATTATTTTTAAGGTTACTATGAATAAAATAAAATACAATTTTAACATACCATTACCAAGGTAAGTAGAATAAACTTACAAGCCTGCTTGATCATTTTTCCCTAATTGTTTTCAATTGTTTCACTTCTTAAAACTACTCCGAGCGACATAAAAATGATTCAAAATTTATTTTTTTCTTAAAAATTTAATACAGTCGTACAAGCCTTTGAAAATATGACAAAAGACAAATGTCAAAGAAACGTGGACCACACTTAAATAGAAAATTTTAACATAATAATACTTGCGAAATAGTGACTTACTTTCAGAATTGCAAAAAAAATCTGTATATTTAGTTCAATTTATAGCATTTTTAGTATAATATAAAATTCAAAGTACGTAACTATAGTATGTAATAATAATAGGATATACCTTAATAAGTTAATTTTATTTACACAATCCATTAAAACAACTCAAAACTCCTCAATACTTGTAACCACTGTCTTGGACGCTAAACTTATTTTTCTTCTCGTGTCCGACTATTGTTTGCAAATCTCCCTGGCCGTGCTTGCTAGCTTCCTTATCGGTTGATCTTGGTACATCAAAATTGAGTGCCGGTTGATTTTCCACCCCACTTAGAGATCTACCGGCTTCTACCGGGAACTCACGGTATCCATTAGCGCTGTTTTCTCCATTTTCTCCATCATAGCTAATTCGTTCGGTCGCCTCCAGATCGGTCAGCCGTTCAGCCGTCTTCTGTCTTCGCATCTCTTCCGCCTCGATGTACTTCAGTGCCCTAAGTATGGCTTCCGGTATGGGTGGTGGAGTGGGTAAATGAGATCCTCGTGGCTGGAAACCGTACTCATTCGCGACGTACGACAGCTCAATTTTCTGACCGTCAGGTGAAGTGTAACCGAAGGAACCAACAGCTTTGGTGCCGCCTTCTCTAGCATCGCCATGTTCTTCAGCCGAGATGCCGTCACCAGTCTGGTAGACGTAACGGTATGTTCCGTCACCTAAATTTTCGCTTTCTAGCCTCAAAATCGGCACCTGGTGGCTACCTGTGGAAGTAAATCGCTCGGCTGACTTGGCAAACTCGTTCGTTACTCCAACGGTATTGGTTTCGGGTACCCTTAATTCGTGACTCAGCTGGGACGCAGTTTGGGGTTGATTCTCAAAGATTTCCGGTCCTTGATGTGGTGAATCTTCTACGGATTGGACCTGGAACTCAGCTGGGAAGTGATTTGGTCTGATAGAAAATTGTCCCTCGTTGTTCGAGGGTTGGTCAGAAGCTTTTTCAGTGTTTAGAAGTTGATTGGCAGCGACTTTAACTTCGTCTCCAGTAAGCTGTTGATTGACTGTCGGTTCGGGTCCAGAAGGAGTTTGGAACTGATTAATGTGTTGATGTTCGGGAGATACTTGGAATCTCGCAGAAGACCCATCAAACGGCTCATTGAGTGCATTTGCTGAAGTGTCAGGTTGGATTGCTTCCTGTTGGTCGGTGGGAGGTAAATACTGAAGGTGGTCTAAGCGAGCGCACGCAACGCAGGCGAATAGAGTGATGATGACGATCTAGAAATAAACCGGTAATAGACGACAACGTAAAGTGTCAATATCTGCAAAAATGGAGTTAAATGAAATTGAACTACCTTAAGCACTCGAGTAATTTACGAATTTTGGAAAACAGTTAAAAAAAGTTGAAATTGAAAAACCGTTTGTTAATTTTTGCTAATTCTTATAGTATAACAGGTCATTGTTTAGAATGTATAAAATGATTTTGCAAGTAATAGCGAATATAGAAAATCATAGCAAACATACGTCAATCAGAAAAGTGGATATTGGTTATAATTTGATACCACATAAAAAATTTAATATAAGTTTTCTCCGAAAAAGTTTTTAATCCAAATCTGATTTCTATTTTTTCTGAAACCATGTTGGAACGAATGGTTTTAAAAATATGAAAAAAAAAGTTACTTTACCGATAGTGACAGAGACTAGTAGTAGAGACATTTTACTTTATCTCTGCCACTAAAAGGCGTTTTCTGTGGAAAAAGCAAAGAAGAATATGTTTTTTTGCGTCATGAGATACTCAAATAATGGCCCTTATTCAATGATAAACCCCATCTTCATATCTTTTTCATTTTTTTGCATTTTCATGTTGCGGTTTGCTAGTAATATAGGCATAGTGTATAATAATTTTAATTATATAATTCATATTATTAAAAAGCAACACGTGGAGAATTTTAATGATTTGAAACCAAGAAGCGTTTTATATATCCTTTGATCCACTAGGTGCGTATGGGGTACAGGGTGGGCACTTTATTAAGGGCCTGTACCTTTTCTCAGGAACTACTGATTTTAGAAAAAATAAGTTTATACAAAAGTTTTATGGTTTAAATTAAATTTTAAAATTATTTATTATTTATAAATATAGAGTATCCGATAAGTGGTGGACTCAAATTAGTTATAAAATTTTGAATAGAACACCAACAATATTTAGATATTTTTAGAATCCTTGCTAAAAATGAAGGTAAGTTTTATAGAAACTACTTATTCGAATTTTGTGCAGTTTAGACCGAAATTGTGATCATATATTTTTTTATGCAAAATTATGTAGATATGGTCTTCCACAGCTTGCAGTAATGACTACTCGATCAAATTTTAAACACATTTTTAGAAGACTTCTTTCTAACGATCTGCGATAACTAGATATTTTAAAATTATACATGACGTCATTTTCTTAATAGATAGACAAAATTGAAACATCTGGTGGCCACCCCACTGGACTATTTTCCAATGGCGGACAATTACCGTGAATTATAAAGGTCTTATAGAGAAGCTGAAGTTCAACTAAATAACACCTATTTTGTTTCTAGTGCTATAAACCATATAGAGGTTGTATATTCAACTTTCATAATTGAAAATAGTGGTCATGTTGAAAGCTTACTGTAGCTTACTTACTGTAGATTTTCTATTTTGTTTTACCATAGTTATTACTTTAATTGTTACCGTTACTGTTGCTTGTTGCTTTTACTTGTTACTGTTACTTTTTTTTTAATTTTTACACAATTTTACATATCTTTGACGATATATAAGGATTTCGTTTTTAATTTCCTAAAGCTTATATACCTACTATAAACCTTACCGACAAAAAAGACCCTTCACCGATTTCAAAAATCCTTGAAATTAATTAAAAAATAAAAATGATATTCTTTTTTAAAATTCTTTGAAATAATTAGGTGTCCGTATTTACGAAACCATTATATATCCCATATATATACAAAATTATACTGCAACTTGAAATTAAAAAATATGTATATTTTAATTTAAGACACCTTTTATAATTTCAAAATACCTAGTCGTCGCGGATTTTTAGAAGGAAGTCTTATTAAAATGTGTTTAAAATTTGATCCAGTAGTCATTATTGCTGCAAAAACACATTTACTAAAAAAATAATTTTGCATAAAACATATATAATCTCAATTCCTGTCCAAACTATACAAAATTGGAATAAGTAGTTTTTATAAAAGTTACGTATATTTTTGGCAAGGATTCTAAAAATATCAGAATATATAGGGAGTTCCGTTTAAAATTTTAAAACTAATGTCGCTCCAGCACTTATCGGACACCCTGAACATATAAAAATTAAATAATTTTAAAATTTAATTTAAACCATAAAACTTTTGTATAAACTTTTTTTTCCAAAAATTAGTAGTTCCTGACAAAAGGCCCCTAATATATAGCGGAATTCTCGAACATAGTTTACTAATAAATGTATTTAAATCTGTGTTTTTAGTATTCGGGCAAAATAACTTATTTCTTCACAAAAATATTAAAATCTAAGTCGAGGCTGCTCAAATTGATTTTTGTCGGAATTTGGATTTAGTGTTTGACTGGCATTCTGAAAATATTAAGAAGGAATGGTACGGATATTTCCCTGTTCATTTCCCTAAATGTAATTATTATTAATGAAGCCCAACTGATTTAGACAAAATTCAAAAAAAGTGCGATAATTTTTTTGAAAAAGTCTTAGAGAAGGAGCCCAGCAAATAACAACAATATATTAGAAATATATGCACATCAGAAATAATAAGGCTGATGTACAGTTAAAAGTTCATTTGTTTATACAATTAATAAAACTTAACATCTGTTCCTTAGCCCTAAAGGGGCCCTATAAGCAGCCAAGACCCAAGGGAAACGGAATCCAGGGATAATTATATAATCCACGTGAAAGGCTAGGGAAACATTGAATGGGCAAAGAGCTTCTTGTAGATTCGTATATTGTAGTAGTTAAGAAGTACAATTGTAACTCTCTAAATGTACTAGTAGCGTTAGAACTTCACTACAAAATTTATCAAATTTTAGATGAAGAATATCCTATTGCCCTTTGACTCAAATGCTTGCTAGTATTATAAAAAGAATCTTGGATTTTAAATGATAAACTCCTGCCTCTATTTTATTTTATTTTAAACTTCAGAAAATGAGGTATTTTTTAAGCATTCGATTAAAATAACCCGGCATTTTGCTGTCCTGTTTTTTCCTGTATTAGTTCACCAATAAAAAATTTTAATTTGAAAAAATCGTGAAAATTACTTACGTATTGCATTTCGAAGTAGGTAGTCAAATGCACCCTCTATTACTAACTGATGCAATTCAAACGTCAACTGAAACGTTTTATAGCGAAAAAAATCCTCCCACCGTATAACATTTGATCGTAATAGCTTAATTCGGTCCTAAAGATTTTAAACAAAAATGCGCATTGAACTTGATATTTAAAAATTCATGGCACATGAGTAATCTTAAGAGCACCATTTTATAGACATATAGTTCATCCTTCACTTAATGAACGTACCTAAAAAGACTATCGAAGATATATTGCTTTTTGATCGTGACGAATAACGTTTCCAATCAAAAGAGGATTATGCTTTGCATTTATTGATTGGGATATATATTATTCCGACGATACAAATGGGATGTAATTTGTCTAATCCCCGAAGAATGTTTTATAAATAAACAATAATTCCACATGAACTTAGGTACTGACTCACACAATGTTAAAATAAATTTCCATCCAGTTTTTGATATTTGTCCATAGTTCTTGGCTTGTCTACTCATTCGACCAGACATTTTCAAGGCTGACTCGCTAGTTTTGCATGTTTTTGTCTTTTTTCTAAGTTAGTTTAATTTCTGAAATAAATAAATAAGTCAGCAGTTGCGGTGCCTAAAATGTTTCAAATTCACTTTTGTTCTTTAGAAACATGATGTTTGTATTATTTTTCGGGATACTACCTATTACTGTTGTCCGGAATTATTTTGTCATATACTCAAAAATGTACTATTTACTGGTAATAAGTACATGTTTTAATGTCCTCAACTCACTACTCTAAAATACACCTGTGTTAGTATAAGACATCAATTTTGTTTAACACTATCAAGGACACTACTGGAGTCTCTTACACTTTAATCATAGCCATAGGATGTTTTCTGCAGATTTTGGACACTGATAGGATTTGTCAGTCCTGTTTTGCAAAAAAAAAAAATGTTATGGTTTAACTAATGTTGTAGGAAATAAATTATATTAATATTAATTTTTTATTATTATTGCCACAGATTTAGGGTATTCTTATTGGAACCAGGTCTAAATACAAATGTTGGTCGTTTACAACATAGTAGTTAATTAACTACTTTGTTAATTTAATCTGTGGTATAAATTTCATCGGGTTGCTGAACAGTTAATTTAACCTGGCAATAACTAAGAGGTAAAAAAATTGCCTAAAGAGAAAAAAAACTTGGTCTTAGAGGTGATAGGTCCATAGTGATAGTGATAAAATGACACTAGAGAATAAATAGGCCGACGCAGTCACTATTGCCAAAAAGAAATTATCGTGGTAAGAAATTGACAAAAATTCAATGCCCAGAATGAAAAGGGGCACAGAAGGACTAAGCAACTACTATAACTATAAATTTATAAAAAAACTGCGCCTGGTGACAAGTGCTTAATTATTATATATTTATTTAATAAATATTGGCCGAACTCAAGATATATGAGAGAACAATGTGTTGTGCAAAAATCAACCTTTCCTATGAATTCAATTAGAAATATGACTATATAGATGTTAATATCATAGTTTATCTCATTTTCTGCGCCTTCGTCATACTGCTGCATTATTTCAAAATTATTAAAACAAACCAACAAATATTATGAAGAACTGTAGTTGTGACACTAATTATAAATTAAGAGTCCAATCGTATTCTTAAAATGCACAACTGTAGCAGCTTCTACATTAATAGAGAAATGATTCTTTCTGTTTCGGCATAACTCAGCATTGTTCCTACCAGGCATATTATAGGTATGTGACCATCAACACAACCAATCACATTTCCTACTGTTTCATTATCCGTTACCGATCCAACTTTAGAGTTGAAATCACAAATAACGACAGTCACTTCACTCTTTTTCACCAGTTTCGTTATCTCTTCTAGTTCGTCTTAGAAACTTTTCATTTTCTTGTTCTATGAGTTGTTCTTAATTGCAACATCATTATTCTCACACGGTAAGGTATACAGTTGATTAGCGATTGATTGATAATAGCAACTCCATGCAGATATTGTGACCCTCCCGAGTAGTACTATATTTGTCCTTTATCAGTCTTTTGTTGGCCAGTGTCAGTCGATATTCGCCTAGACCAAGGATATCGATCTTCAGACGTTGTCTTTCTTTTTCAAAATTGGCTAGTTTCCCTGCCATGTGCAATGTTTGGACGTTACATGTAGTTATGTGTAGTGTTTTGTTATATAGATGAGTTCTGTTTTCCATGGTAGACGACGGGGATATTTTTAGCACCCTCTCCTCATTTAAGAGGTGCCCTGGACTGAGGGCTGTGTGCCATAGAGATTGTTTAGAATTATTAATACAGTAGTTTTCCGTTTGCTTTATGTATCGCAGTATCATAGCCGATGTAATCAAGATTTGATAGTCGCCTATGGGTGGCTAGTATCAAGTCATCATTTTTCGATGGTCCTGATGTAGTATTGACGTAGCTGCTTCCCAGCGTCAAGGAGTTTGTGGTATGTAACGATATTATGATTGGTGGGATAGGATGAAGGTAAATGACCTGCTCCTTCCTGTAGGGGAGGGTGGAATGTAACAGTGACTAGCATAGGGCAGGATTGTCAATTCCTGAAGTAACCTGTCTCTTACCGGGATCGTAATAGAGTGCTACTCGTTAAAATAGAAAAGCAATAAATATTTGGTCCACAGCAGGCAATTTTTGCATATTGAAATATCAAGTCAGAAGGAGAAATAAAGTTTTGGTTAGATTTAACTTCTGTTTGGATCAAATTGGGGTATTTGCATTGGTGATCTTTACAGGGGTAAATTTAAATCGAATATAAGATTTTTGTTTAATAAGGACATTCATTGGAAAAAATTTTAGGTCACAGGGATGTGTATCAAGGCTATATTCGAAATAATAAATGATTTTTCAAGGATCTGAAGTTTCCAATAATCTGCCACCTATTATTAGCCTATTTAATATAATTTATATAAATGGTATATATTTTTTTTGTTATTTCTTTTTGTGTGTGTTTGTATTGTTTTATTTTTTCTTTTTTTACGGGTTTTCTTTTTCCTTTTTTGTTAGTGATAGAAACTTGATTAGACACCAGTGGCTTCACCACTGTCTAGAAGATTTAACTTTTATAACTATTGTTATGTTTTTTGTTATTAAAAAATATATTTTCAAAAAAAAAAGTTATTGACTTTTGTTTTTTTTACGGGAAGGAAACTTCATTTTATTAACCTCTAATAAGTGTCATTCCAGGCCCTAAAACAAGTACAATCCAGAAGTGTTCAATGGTCGAAGATCATTTAATTGCTGTGTTCACGATGTTGTGAGATTATTGATGCATTTTTTGTTAATATTTCGTGTAGTGGCTAGACAGGTTTTGAGAATATAGGAATTATCAAAATGATATTAAAAGCAGACGAGTACTACTCTCTGAGAGTACTTTGTTCCCCTTATACGCTACATTAAAATGAGTTTCAAATTTTAATTTCCATATAAAAGAAGCACCGGATAAACTTTCACGCCCTGCATCTGTTACAGGATTTTATTTTCGTTTGGAATCACTCTGTATATGAGATGCATGACATCGGAGTACTTACACTGAGGTGTGAATGTTTTGAATTAAAAATGTGGTAATTTGACCCAATTCCCAAGCTTGAATTTTTGTGAAAAGCATCACTGTATAGTCCTTGATCAATTCAGATTTTAAATTAAATAATATGTATATCTGGCTGTAGTCTGTAGGCTGTGAATCTGTACTTTAAGAGAATATTAATAATGAGAAATGGCCTATCTAAACCATTTTTCTCTTTTTATACGTTAACATGTGAAGTACAACGTCTATCGATCGAAGCCCACGCAATACTTCCGCCAGTAAGGGAAGCGAAATTTAATGATTAATGAATACAATTTTTTTGAATTCAACAAATAAAACGCCTTTGAAAAATTTGTAATTAGCGCCAACTATCCAAAAAAACATTTAGCGCGAGTGAATAAGGTTCACATTAAAAACCCGCGTTCCATTCAGTCCCATTCAACGTGCGAAGGTTAACAAAATCATGACTTCATGACTACTACTGTGGAAGTCGATGACGGTCTGTCAAGTACGCTTGATATACTGCATCTAATTAAACAATATTTTCAATAAAAATGATGAAGAGATCTTAATTTAAACCATTAGGAGCTTTTAACAATGCGTGCGTTGAGCAATTTGTGGAAGGGTATTTTTTACATATATAAATATCGATTTTGGATTACATTTATCAGTTGTAGTCTTAAGTTCAAACTATATATTAATTATGAAGAAGGTAAGCAACAATTTTAACTGTAATACCAGCAATGTTTAAGGAACGACTTTACTCTAATTGGCACCTAAATTTCGTTAGGAAAAGCTTTTGTTTACTAGACTAGGAAAATAAAGTTTAAGTTTCTCTAGTTGATACCTAAACTTGCATAATTTCGGTTGCTTAAAGCATACCTAACTAAGTCCAAACTCTAGGTTGTGTAAACAATATCTGAGAACATTGTTGAATACAGACCCGGAATTTTTTGAGGGTTATCTTAAATTATACAAAGATTTCCTGGAATTGTGGTTTATAAATTCTATTAATAATAAATATTAAAAAATGATTCCGGTAGAAATAGTATAGTATGCAACACGTTATTTTACGAAAGAAAGTTCATGTCAAAGTAGGGCCGGAATCGCTTTTTTTATAGATATTGGGTGGTAATAAAAAAAAGGTTTTTGTCATTTTCATTGAAACTGCTTTAGATATTTTGTTGAAATTCGGTAGGGGCCCGCAATGCGGGTGAAAATTATTCATCTGTTTTTTTGAAAAATAATTTACTTTTTGTAAAATTACCAGTCATTTCTAAGTAAAAACGATCTCTTCAGTTTGTCTTGTTCGACGAAGTTGTTCAAAAATTTTCCTTTAGTTGTTGTTTATAACATCATATCTTATGGTTATTTTGGTCTACTTTGTTGTCTTAAAATTTATTTCAGATGTACTTGATGATTTTTGAGTTATTGTAAGTTGGTGTAATTTTTCCCTGACGCTTTGTTGGCAATCTTTCGTCAAAAAAAAGTCATTTGCTCATTTTTACGAAGAAATGATTCCCGAATCTAATGTAATCTATGTGTGGAAAAACACTGGCGTACCATTTTTTTAAAAATAAAAATATTCAATATCATGCTTACCCCGCCACTCGCATTGTGTTGTTTTTATGCGCCTCCACCAAACAATCAACAAAATACTTAAAGCAGTTTCAACGAAAATTAAGAAAAACCGTTTTTTAAAACATATTTTCATTACCTTGTAGATTAAAAATAAATCGAACTTTTTTTATTTAAACCAAGGAAAACACACTGTATGCATCTCCGTCACACGCTGCGCTCAGCTCGTGCCTAAAGAAACTTGTTGCATAGTAAACTATTAAGGCACAAAGAAATCCATAGAATAAAAAAGTGCAACATTTTATTACAATAATTATTATGATGCAATGAAGCAATGCATTTTCATTATCTTTTTTGAATGATCCTTTTGATGTAAAATATTTATAATATTTCCCTTGAATGTAAATGACGATGATATAGCTATTCATCGTAGAATATCAATTACCTGTACCTGCAGCTTGACTGGCTCGTAAACGTACATTTTGAAGAATAAATAACATTTGCACTTGTTTTAAACAAACATGGCTTATACGAATGCATCATGAAAATTTTGAAATAACTTCAAGTTGCTTGAAATGTTTTTAGGTTTTATATTTTTATTAGATCGAAATATTTACCACAATAATATATTAGTGCTCATAGCTGGGATAAGTGCGAATTTTGACATATAATGAAAGCACACATACAAATTATCTACAACATTCCAACAATATGGAATTAAAAATATAAGTCTCAATAAATAACTGGCGTAGCATTAGTCGCATCTTTTTATTTAATTTATTATTAAACATTTTAGACCCAAAAATCCGTAAATTAGCAAAAATATTGGTTTTAGTTCGTTGTAGCGTTAGCGCTTCTGGGATACGTTTCATCTGCCAAATTGGACAACCTCAGATATTTGCCGCCTGATAACAGAAACCTACCTGCCGGCGGGAACCATGAATCTGGATTGGTAGCTCCCAGTCAATCGGTGGATCGCAAGCAACCTGTCAATCAATATGGCACCGAACTAAACACCCAGAAGTTTGGATCTATACAAGGAAGGGAAACTTTTGGCATATTCCCGGCACAGAAACTGCAGTCGGGTGTTTCTGCTGACTCCTCGGATATTGCCGGCAATGGCTTTGGAGGTTCCCGTAACTTCGCCAGACCAGTTGGAGATCAATCTAACAGCTTCGGATCATTCCAAAGTTTTGCAAAACCTGCAGGAGGACGGTCCAGCGACGCTACATCGAGCCAAGAGTACACCAAACCCACCGAAACTCAGTCCAATGGATTCGGATCGAGTCAGCAATCGCCCAACCCAACTGGTAGTCAGGGTAATGGTTTCGAGCCAACGAAAGATTACTCCAAAGACACTGGCGATGAGTCCAGCGTTTCAGTTGAACACGAACCTAATAAATTTCAACCCTATGACTACACAAAGCAGTCCGGCGGTTACTCTCAAAACTATGAAAAGCCGACTGGGGATCAACCAAGTGGCTTTGGGGTCCCTCAGAATAATGAGAAGCCGTTCGTAGGTTCATCTAACGGTTTCGCAGCATCCCAGCAAAATGGAAAACAAAGTGGGGGTCAAGCTAATGGGTCCGGATCATTCCAAAAATATGGAGCACCCTCCGAAAGCCAATCAAATGGTTTCGCATCCTTACAAAGAACTACCAAACCAGCTGAAGGACAATTGAATGGTTTCGGTGCTTTCCAGAACTATCAAAAACCAAGTGAAGGCCAGACTGTTGGATCAGGATCATTCCAAAAGTATGAAGTACCAGCTGAAGGCCAATCCAATGGTTTCGGATCCTTCCAAAGAAATAGCAAACCGTCCGAAGGTCAGTTGAACGGTTTCAGTTCATTCCAAAGTTCTAAAAAACCAACTGAAGGTCACGCTGGTGGGTCGGCATCACTACAGAATTATGAAGCACCCGCTGAAGGCCAATCGAATGCTTTTGGATCTTTCCAAAGTACTACTAAGCCGACTGTAGGGCAGTCGAATGGTTTCGGCTCTTTTCAAACTTATCAAAAACCAACTGAAGTTCAGGGTGATAAGTCTGGATCATTCCAAAAGTACGGAGCACCCAGTGACGGACAATCTAATGCTTTCGGTTCGTTCCAAAACTTGAAGAAACCGACTGGGGGTCAGTTTAATGGAATCGAATCTTCGCAAGGTGCAAAACAAACTGGAGAGCAACCGACAGCCTTTAAATCCGCACAATACAGTTCCAACCAAGGACCGTCAGCCTTTGGGGCAAATCAACCTTCGTCTTCAATCTCAGGCATATCCGAACAAAAGTCCAAATCTAGCAATAATTTTGGCAGCGCTCCGTCTGCTTTCCCGCAAATTAACAATTTGAAATCCACACAGTACTATTCGAACCAACCTTCCGCTTTTGGCAACAATTTAAGCAATGGTCGTACCTTCGATGATGATACCGTATCGGTGGAAGCCCCAGCTAGCCACTTCAATCGTCCGTCGCAGCAGAATCCTGGCGTATTATCGCAGAATGGGCAACCTTTTTCTTCAAACCGGCAATATTTATCACCTCACTCCAACTTTGGAACTTCAACCCAACAATCTCCTTCGTTTGGAACCTCTCCGCAGTCACAAACTACAAGTCAGGTTAAAGCCGGAGAGAAGAAGTTTGGCAGCCTTGGATTCCTCTCAGGGCAGTCCCAAACACCTGCCCAACAGTCCTCAGAATATTATAACAATGTAGATAACAGCAACAAAAATGTGAGACTACCTGGTCCTGCTCAGGAATCGCAACAAGCTAAGGGACAAAATTCCCCTTCATCGGGTGCTTCCTCTCCCTACAGGTATGATGTACCATCTGTGAGCTTCACGAACTTTCCCACAGCGTCTCAGCGAAGTTCAAAGCCAGGAGATGGCAACCAGTTTAACTCACCCAAAAGACCCGAATTCGGAGGTGACAAATTAGGCAAGGTCGGGTCTAATTTTAAGTCACAGGCCGAAGTGCAGACCCCTGCGAGCCAGTTCCAAACTTCGTTGTTTAGAAATCAGCCAGCGGCATCTTTTGGTAGCGCATTTGGCCCACAAAGCGGTCAAAATTCGGTTGCTCAGAAGTCGCAAGCTGGAGTCGGCAGCCCTAGCTTTAAAGAAAATCGCGTTCAAAATCAGCAGGCGCAGGACTCTAACGGGGGTTATTTGTATTAAGATCATGTAAAGATGCTGAACAAAAATTTGATTGCAACTGGTCCCTTTAAATGATTGTATAGATGTGTGCATACTGTAAAATAAAACTTTTACGCCGTTGGTTGTCTCGTTCATTAAGAGAGATTAGAAAATAAAAGACGCACAACAGCGAGTGGCATTGGAGGAATTGGTACGCATTCAAACCACCGATATTAATCATCTCTGATGTGCCCGAAATATAAATTTTACTACGTGCATTTTTTAAGCTGTCTGTAGCCTTAGGGCTGCTTTAACGAGCATCTTGCGTAATGTCGGCTATTACCGCACAATCAGCTTAAACGAATATGATATTAATCAAATAGCCTTAACTTTTATAGTCGTTTTTGTACGGATATCGAAATTTTCGGGTGGAAAAACTGCAAAATTATATATCTAATATTTCGAGACCTCATCAGGCTAACAACAAATAATTTTACATTTTGACGTGAACAAATTTGCAAGGAATTGCAATTCTATTCTCAAGTTTAAAAATGTCAGCAATGAAATTAAGACAGTACCTTGTTTTTCCTGCAGATCTTCTTTCTTCTACTAGCGAGACGTTTTTTCCATATTTCTATAATTAAATTAAGATATGAAATTATCGCAATTTTACTAGTACTTACTTTTGAGTTGCATTTGGTTTCTGTGACCTTTTTAAAATTTACTATCAATTAAAATAATATGTCAAGATATAGTCGAATTCTTACGCTCATTACGCTATGAGATACTCAAGTTCAAACTAAACAAGATTGTTTTCTCAATCTCGTTGCTACGAGGCTCTGTGTTTCAAAGAAGCTGCTTCGCGGCTACTTGTCCTAGGGGAACACAATATTTTTTTATTGTGCTCCTGCAGAACTTTCGCAAAATGGATATAATTTTCTTCTATAAAGTGTCTGTCACATGTCGCCGAACTTCAAATATCTCGCGCACCCTGTATGATGGACGAAATCCGAAAATAGGAAATTGTAGCTCCCGACGCAGTGTACTACACTTCGTAAACCAAATTATCTCAACTTTTAATGCTTTTTATTTAAGACCAATAATGTATCCACCAAAACTGCAATTTTCTGGATTTTTTAGAATTTTTGCTCAGAAACATCACACCCTGTATATAATTCAACAAATATTCGGAGTAGAGACAATTAATCTCCCACTTTTCCTGGTATATGAATTTTACAAATGGAATAAATGTTTTTCGAGAAAATAATTCTTCTCTGAAACTATGCAGTACGCCGTAATAGTGAATGACGTCATGGCGTCTAGATGGAGTGCCAGAAATAGCTATTTTCATATGGATTTTCTTCAAATATCTCGAGCAGCGTGTGAGATGGACCAAAACTTCGTCTGGCAACTTATTTTAGGATAAAAAGAAACCGGATGACACATACTGATTAAGTAACATTAAGTTTTAATTTTATGAATATGAGATTCAGGATACCTTTTGGATCCATGGCTGCTTACACCAATTGTCAACACAATAACAAATATATAATTGTAGGCAGAGATCTATTAATTAATTAGTTACGCCTCTCATAGAATTAAGGGCATTAGAAATTTGTTCCCATGCCTGTTTTTTTTTTGTTTTGTTCAGGGGTACCTTTCCCAAATCGTATGTTATTTTCTTTTGTAATAAGGCCTATAAGGATTTTATACTGATCACAAGTTGCTTTTTTAAGAGGCTTCTGAAAGAAAAGAACCTACGTACGACCACAACCCCCGCGGATTAGATAGATATGATTATGCGTAATCAGAACTAAACAATAAATATAACATATTTATTTTGGTGAACTTACTTTCGGAATCTTTTGATTTATTATTTTATCAATTACTACAACAAATTATAGGTTTAGAGGTTTATTTTTAGGAAATCTTATATACTTATATATACTTATATATACTTACTGGAACCTACCCCCAATGTCAGCTACCATTCATGATGCATAGACAAAATACCAATTTCGTATTCGACAAAACAAACGATTATCGATTGACGATTGACGATTGACGATTGATACACTGGAAAATAATGCTCCTGAGCATTTAAAACGTTCTTATATAATCATGGGTTGCATCAAATAGTTTCTCAAACAACACGTATGGCTGAGAATAGCAACCCATCGTTAGATGTTATTGTAATTTGAACTTGCCACCAATGCAGAAGTTGTTCGCATGGACGCTGTATTGAAGCACTACTTAGTAAAATTACTTAAATATCACGAAGTCACCAGCACCTACAAAATTCAGGACTTATCAGGACATCATTTTTGTCATACAGTATGTAAAACATACGGCCATAAAGTCTTTTTACTATATTGTTTAATTTGCAGTGACTTGTATATTTGTGTTTGAGTTGTCTCGTAAGCTGATACCTAATTATATGACCGAATATATTTGAAATATTAAAATAATATTTCTTTTATTTCTTTTTAATTATGACGCTTATGTTTGAACTGACTATCAATATGCAAGTTACCTAAATTTATCTAAAATCGAGTGGACCTTCTTGGATTTGATAACAACGGATACTTTAATTTGAAATTATTGAATTCGCATTAGTAGATAACCCTGTTGTCCTTTAGGATGTATAACGTTTTTTTACTATATTGCAACTTTTGCAGTAAACTCAACGTTGCCTAATTGCCTTCGATATTGTGGTCTATTGGGAGAAGAATTTTGAAAGGATGACATTGATATATAAACATCGCTATGAAAATATGGCCATTTTAGAAAATTCTATTTTAAAATTGCAAAAAAATATATTGTTGCTTCAAAGAAACTTCCATTGTCTACTGTAAAACTATTTGCACATCTTCTGAATATTCTGGATCCCTCCTGTGCCGGTTGTTGGTGAACTGAAGTTGCTGACGTTTCCCCAATCATTCTGTTGGCTTTTTCAGAGCTTACGTGAAATCGGCTCGTTTTCTACTCTGCTGTAAACTCTTGGTATCTCAAACGGAATGTTGTCTTTGACGGATCGAAGATGTTGACAATGACAAAGGTTTTCTGTAAACAGAATGTTAAATCTGAATTTCTGTTGATAAGAATATATAAGAAGTTAGGGTGTATAGACTTTAAATGCTCTCTGCTAGGGATTTTTGACCACGAGGCCAAATGACAAAGGTATCATCAACGTAGCGTTTTTATAATTTTGATGTTAGATGGAAAGTGTCGAGAGCTTTCCACTCAAAGGCTTCCATAAATATATTCGTGATGACTAGTGATAATGGAGAACCCATAGCGGTTCCCCCCCATAAGGGATTTAGTTCCAGATTTTCGGATTTTGATATATCTGAAATAATGTTGGGAGTTTCAGAAAAGGGGACTTTGGTAAAGAGGGATTCTACGTCGAAATTAACCAGAATATCTTGTGGATCTAATGTAATGGTTTTTAATGGTTCAATGAAAATAAAAGAATTACATATGACACTATCAGTTTGTCCTCTAAAAGGCTTTAATATAGAAGCTAGATATTTTGCCAGTGAAAGTGTAATCCTGGTTTGTGAATCCGTAGAGACGATGATAAGTGACAGACATTTTCAAGAATTCTGATAAAGGAGAAGCCTTAATAACAGATTTAAGGTTGCGTTCCATGGGTGACGTAGGATCCTTTTTAAGTTGACGATAGGATTCGTCTGTAAGAATATCTTGATTTTTTCCTGATATTTTGGCATATTAGATTTAGGAGGTATGGATTTTTTAGGATTTTTGTGGTTACAAATCGAATTTTATTAGCTGTTTGAGTTGGAAGTTTGTTTAGGATAGACTCGACGATGATTTCCTCTTTTGGGATAATACGTGGGGCAAGGACGAAGTTGAAACTTACCAAACACTCTTGCGATCACTTCTTGCAAGAGCTTCCAACTTGATACTTGTCCCACGTAGTAAAGCAAAACCAGATTTACGAAAAATTATGTAAGCAGTTTCAGGTAAGCTCTGAAGAAGCCAATAGGATGATTGGCGAAACTTCAGCAAGAAATTTTATGCACCTTTTAACCGAAAACTCTAAATAAAATGTTAAACAATGATGGAAAATGTTTTTTTTAATGAATGCCTCTAAAATTTGTAAAAAATAAGCTCACTCCTGGTATATTACAACTATAACATATTTTAAACAGCATTTTTACACGCCGCTGGAGTGTTGTTAAGTAGAAATAGAAGATTTCCTTTCCTTGCACCTTCTAGAAAGTTTTAAAAAAATAAAATTAGAATGGCGGCTTAAAATACAACTTCGCCAGGGAAGTGTAGTTGTAGCTAGTCAAAATTAGGCAATGGCTTGGGTGTCCCACTTCATCTCCTTTTCAGGTGAGACGCGGCGCTTAATACCCGCGTAAGACGTCATCAAAAAGCTATAAACGAAATGCCTCGTTACTTAATAATAATTATGAACAATTGCTTTGGATCGCGAGAGCCGTGTGAATCCAAAAACGGTTCATGTGGCAATACGTAATTAGTTTTTAATTTAGCAAAAACGCATTGTTTTGTGAGACTAAACGATTACTCATCTCAATGCAACAGCGTCAAATTGAAAAGTACGAGGTCACCAGCTGGGTAAAAGATACTGTTTATATAATCGTGGTGATGGAAGTGTTCAGCATTTCATTCTCACGCCTGTTCGCTCGAGAATTCAAACCGCATCAACTATCAAAGATCACATTTATTAAACCATACAACCAATCAACAATTACTAAAACAAAACCTAATATTTATATCCGCCGTTTTGTCCTCTTCCGTTCGAACTGGGAGGGATGTATTGGTTGCTTTGGGCACCCGAGTACTGAGAACCTCCCTGGTACTGCTGGCCGCCCTGAGATCCGCCCTGGTGTTGAGCGCCTTGTCCTTGGTACCTCTGGTAGTCGCTAGGGCCTTGGTGCTCCGGTCTGTATTGACCATCATCTACGACGCCTGCATCAACATTAAAGTATCATATACGATCGCATAAAAAATATATAAATCTACCTCTGGCTTCATCGGCCAAGTTTTGCTCGATAGCTTTCAAAATCTCGGCCGGTACCGGGGGAGGAGTGGGGATGTGGGAACCTTGAGGTTGGTATCCGTTTTCATCGGCAGAATAGCTGATTTGGATCTGTTCGCCTTCGGGAGACGTGTAGGAGAATGAACCTTGGGATCTGGTACCGTCCTCATGAGCTTGGCCTTGTTCTTGGGCATTGATTCCGTTACCGGTTTCGAATGCGTAGTTGTAGTTCCCGTCACCTGGAAATACAAAATTGATTTGTTAAGTAAAATATTAAACACTTATAGCCTGTACCTTCGTTGGTATTATCCAAACGCAAGATTGGTACGTCATTCAGAGCGTTTTTCTCCTGGTACTGTCCACCTTGGGACGAATATTGGTTCGATTGTCCGGAATACTGGTTCGATGGTCCGGAGTATTGGTTAGATGACCCCGAGTATTGATTGGAAGCGCCTCCGGAGTATTGGTTCGATGGGCCGGAATATTGGTTAGGAGCTGCCCCCGAGTACTGGTTGGCGGCTTGGTTGGGCGGAAGGTATTGGCTGAGCTTCGCGCAGGCAGCAACGCCCATGCAAATGGCTACCAAAAGTATCTGACCAAAAAAGTTCAAAAATGATTCATTTAGATCGGGTTTGATAGTAAACATGCCAAACTTAGTAGTATTAGTTTTTTTTATTTATTGAAAGAGAAAATTATGTACTAAAATATGGATATTGAAATAAATGTTATTTCCTAAAGAATGTATAACAAAAAACATATTCCAATCCCAAATTAACCTAACATGTCTGAAAAAAGGTTTCCAAAATGATTAATTCATATGTTTTTTAATTTTTGTTGTTGTTAACAGAAAGTCTAAAATACATTATTTAAATAACCACTGTGCCTATTAAAATATTCACTATTGAAACAATATATAATAAATATATTGAATTTCCGAATTAACCAAAACTCTCTGACATAATAAGTTCATAAATAATTTACTGACAACTCGTTATTTATTTTATTATTCATTAAAGTTCCAAACCATTCAATTGGAAATAATACATTCGATTCCCAAATCTATTATACTGAACCTTTACCTGTAGATCCTCAAATATTCGTCTATTCAAGAATACGTCCCCATGCAAGTTATTAGATTTATTCATCTCATGAAATGGTAAATCAATTTTTAATGACATTGTGTTTTAAATAACTGATATTAAGTGAAATATGAAGAAAGTGATTGAAAGAAATACTACAATTTAATGTTCAAAAATTACGTTTCTAGTTGTCAGCTGGAAATACCAGTGAAAACTGTAAAAATCTAAAAAAACAAATTTTTTTTAGGACGCTTACATTCTCACTTAACACAAGAACCTTTTCGAAATTGCAAAGAAAACCTCCACTTATTAGCTTTTGTATTAACATAAACAAAAGTTCACTCAATCTAAATAATTAATTTTTCTTTTGAAGATCTGATTTTATAAAAGTTTATGGTTTGTGATTGGTATAATTTCTTTTATCAAGTACCAAAGTAAAAGTTGGATTGTTGGTAAATGTTAACGAAACGTATAAACCAATATATAATTTTTTTAATGCTTGTTAGGGGCTCACTAAAAACCTATTATGATATGATTCGTATAGAATTGCTAGTATTAGTATTAGTATTGTTAGTAGTTAAAATTACCGTGCTTTGGCAAATATGAAAAATGGACAACGAATTAAAAAAAAAATTGGAGAAGTTACTTTCTGATGTTCAAAAGTGTAGAAAAGCACCATTTACCAGAATATTAAAATATAAAAGTATGCTCTGCAAAATTTTCTTAGATTATTTACCACCATAATATAAAGAAACTAATTTTCTCTTAATATAGATAAACAAGTAAAGGGTGATGCATTTTAATTTGCTAAGCTTCTTTCTGCATTGAATATTGGAAAAGTCGTTTATTGCACAATCAAATTTTACACAACTATGTCGTATACATGAAAAAGTAATACAATTAATAATAAACAAATTGGTTTTTGCTCGAGTCTAATTTTCCCCAGGGCTCAAGAAAAAAATATGTCGTATCGTAAAAAGTTCGGTTTTTTTACTAAAAATTAAATTTAAATTAATTACTTACTGTTAGATGAAGATTTTAAAAAACGAACTTCTCAGAAAGTATCTTTTAATAATTTTTACTCACAGTGTATCTGCAATAAATTAAATTGACTTATTTTAATTACGCGTTAAATAAACTTTATCCCGTAAATTTGAAACGACTTTTTAGGTGTTTAGGATGAACACTCCGCCCCCACTTCAATTTACGCTAACAACATAACGGCGCACTTTATAATATTAGAAAAGGTAACTTGAACGTCTTACTTGTTTCATATTTAGTTATTAATAATTGGACACTACTGTACTTTGTGATGCCTCGAAATTTTGGCAATTCACTTTTTATAGGACCGCCGCCGCCCCACCTAGCCGAAGAAGCGCAAGATGAAGAAAATTGCAACAGATTCGACGCGAGCCTGCGGGCAAGACGTACACCGATTTAGTTCTCATCGATTTGTAAGAATTGTATACGTGCGGTACTGTGTGAAATCGCTAATGTTACAGTTCATGTGGAGCCTACATTCTCAAAATTGTTAATAGTCTCGCGGTAGATAATTGGCTCTTACGCATTAAGTAGCCCGATTTTGTTTTTAATTCGCTAGAACTTTCTAGGTCAGGAACGGCATAGTGTTAATTGTTAATTATTTAATAAATCTCGATCCCTACTCGCACAACACAACACATAGTATTTTAGTCACGAGTTTTAAGAGATCGGACGTTTTCCTTAGCCTTTTAAATATTGATTCTTGTTGATAAAACAACCCAATGCCCTCGCGAACCCTGAAACGCGGATATTGCGTTAGACGTGACAACGTCTATCGCCTCCCTTGATCACGCTGCATAGACGTGACTGACCGCCCCGACGGCGCCTGTTTTCCAGACATGCGTTGCGCGCAGTTAGTCAGTCGACCGCGACCGCCCTTGACGATAGAAAAGTGAAAATCGCCCTATCGCTAAACCCCCCTTTAAGCCCCTTTCACTCTTAATATTCCCTTATAAGTCGGTGTCCTCTTTGGACTAGCCCCTCAAACGGTTTCTTTCGAGGAAGTTTAATCTCTATTTTAACGCAAATTGTGTTTGTGATTAACTCAAATAAACCGATTGTTAAATGCCTTATCTTGTACCGTCGTCGCGTTGTGACAGAATATAGTTTGTGTTGTGTTAAACGGCTATCATTTAAAATAAACCAGCCCCGCAAGAATACAGTCCACACCCCCAACAAATCAACCCGTTAGATGGTGGTGAAGCAAGGATACGTTTCTCCCCCAATTCTAATTCTTCACGCACTTGTCGATTAAAGGCTCGCGTCGCTCATATCGTAACACACTCGTAGCTAAAGTAATTATTAAGAAAGTAAGAAAAACTCACTTGAAAGGATGTTGTTGTTGTCCGGTTACGGTTTTTGCGACACTTTGCTAGTTTTTTATTTAATTAGTGATGCCAGCAAGCAATTTTTCATGGCCCTAGTATTTTCTGAGATATACAAAGCGAAATTGTAAAAGTGAGTTTTTGGGATATCTCATATATCGCCCATATAAGTGTTATATCTGCGATTATATATCTATATTACTATATGTAATTGTTTTTTTTTTAAGAATTGTGGATAAATTTTGATCCTTGTAGACAGTTTGTGCACAAAACAGAACTAATTTTGTATTCGTGCATAAAAAAAATTATATAAAAAAATATTTTGAAATATTGCCTTAGTTTTGAAAATATAAAAAACTGTTATCGAAAAAAGTTTTTCCCTTTCAGTTGTTTTATTTTTCTGGAATTGTAGTCAAACAAAATAGATTAATGTAATATAATTAACAATTATTAATAGTTTTATAATATGGTTAAAACATATTACAACTAAATAAAGTTTTGTTGATTCCATTACAATTGGCAAGCTTAAACAATATAATAAAAAAATTAAGTAATTTAAGTATTTATTTTTAAAAACAGATGCCATAGATAATATTTTTTTACAATTGAAACATTTTCTGTATGGCAAACTAATGGTAATTTATTAGTAAGAAAAACCGGTTATATTTTTTCATCTAAGTAAACTAATACAAAAATTGTGCGTATATGTTAGCATTTTAATTACATATAATTTAATATTTGTATCTCCCGGAAAGCGATTATGCTTTACATACTTGTGAATGCTGACTATAATAAATAAATTTTTCTTAAAGTTACCCCAGAAAAAATGTCTATGACGAGAAGGTCAGGCGACCTAGGAGTGCATCATCTTATTGGTCCTTTGGTTGTCCGCTTATCTGAAAAAAGATTGTTGTTTAAATAGATGAGCTCTGGTCAACCGTCTCCGATAATATTTGAAAATTCTCTATCAGTTGTCGTTCCAAAACAAATATTTTACAGTATATAAAACTATCTTCAAAAAGTTGCCTATTTGTTTAATGATATAATTATATAAAAAATAAATTTTGTCAAATTGTTTCTAAAATATAATTGGGATTTTTTTAAACCAAAATTTTAGTATTTTTAAGTTAACCCTGAGTTTTGAAATAAATTATTAATATAACACTATCCAAAGTAGTCTGAATGACATCTCGAAGTTTTGCACTCAAAATCTCATTTCCCTATTTTACTCTCTAGTTCATAAATTATCAGGATCACGGAAACTTTGCTGGTCGAATATTCAGTTTCATAGACGACTAGCTCAAAACCGTAAAGAATCAGCTAAATTATTTGCTAAAGTGTCATTTGCTTTACTTTAAAGATTCAAAAAAATGATAAGATTATATCTTAGGTTTTGAAGCTATTAAATGGCTAATGGGGTTTTAACGCTATAACCGAAGGCGTAAGCAACCACACACAAACAAAACGACATACTTTTTACATAAACTGTCGGAAAATAATAAAAGAAATTTTTTCTATAACAAAAAAGTGTTTTTCTACTCCCTTCTGTAAAACACACAATTATGCCTCGATTCAGTTTACGGGAAGCGTCACTTTACCACGTGAATTTCTTGTTCCATGGATCCGAGCCACTTCGGACATTTCCGGGATATTACCGTACTGGTTTGGGTGCAATCGGATGTTTTTGGAGATATTACCGCTCGGCTTGAATTTTGACGTTTGTCAATTTTGACGATCATGTCAGCGAATGAATCCGTATTGTTTTGCAAAAATGTACCCAAAAACTAACTTTTATTGGAAAATAATGGTATACAACACACTTGGCTAACTTTTTAAGCCACTGGTTTTATTAAACACTCGCTCCGCTGGTATCAAATAAACTCGTGTTTCAAATGCCGCTTACCGCATGTACTGGATAATATACTACAACAAATAACTATATAACAAGATATAAAGTTTGGAAATTTGTTCATTTTTTCCTCATATTTCTGATAATCTGTATCAAGGGGACAAATTAAATAGTTAAAAAATGGAGTAGTATATTTCTTCAATATAAAAGAATAACAAATATACAAATAATCAAAATATGTTTAGATTTAAGGACCGAACCCAAATATGGGGCAACATATAGGATGTTTCATAACAAAAAACATAACTTTACTATTTTACGCATCCTTTATACGCAAAAACAATCAAGTCCTTTAGATATCGTTTTTAAAAATTATAAAATTTTGTTTCTTCATACATTCGGCGATAGACAAATTGGTACTTGAGCAATTTATTTTCCCTTTTCACCAAAATTCGAAATTTCTGAACTTATACAAACCAGTTGCTATGGTTAATAATTACATCTTTACTTCGTTGTTAAATAGACGATAAAGATGATGATGATACACTTTTAATGCTTTTCTTTAAGGCATTCGAACATTCAGCGGTGAGCTCTAAAGTGCGCAGTATTTATTTCTTTTGCATTTTAACTAAAATAATATATTATAAAACTTAGCGTATGACTATGACTCTATATAACATCATCAAACCCAAGATTTCGATGAAGCCATCGCCCCTCTAGGATAGATCCTTGAGTTCCCGTCCCTTCGACGCCATTTAACCTTATTTTTTTATAACGAAATAAAGCAAAAGAATTCAGGAAGCTGCCTGATCGCTTCCAATCAATGCGACGGCCTTGGAAAGTAAATTGTATCGCATTACATCGGGTGCTCATCGTTAGCGGGCCGTATTTTTTTTCTTCCTTTCAAGGTGATTTCGCCCATAAACATCGAAATGCACCATCCTCTTGATGTAGAATTAGTGATGTCGATTAAAACGATCGCATTTGAAAAATTGACGGGCATGTACCATTTTTGATTAGCATATTTATCCGGTCATTTTAAATGACGGGCTATCAGTCATTTTTGAAGTATCAAGTACAACGCGAGTTGACGATCAGTTTCAAGAGTTATGAGAAAATGGTAAATGCAAAAGTTGGAAAGATTGTTAGGATGCACAATTTAAAATTACTAAGTATACGTAATTGCTCAAAAAAAACGCAACGAATAATTCATTAATTTAACTAATTTAATTTAATTAAAATTGACAACAACAATTACTATACAGCAAACCTTATAACTACTATACTTACATTATTATATGTCTTACATCGTTATTTCTAATCCGGCATTGGTTCAGACTTCTGTCGTCACAGAGGTTGAGATATTAGTTTAAATAACAACAAATAATAATCAGACCACAATAAAAGGTTTAGAAAACATTGAACCCCTCTCCGAAAAAAAAAAAAATTGAAATAGACCATACCAAAAATAGAAAAGCAAGAAACAAAAAAAGTGTAATTAGTTCACTGATAGGAGTTTAACTTAGCCATATTTTCGAAGTTAAAACAGACAGACAAAAGCTTGTTTATTCAAACCGAAATAACTTTAATACAATTTTTTAAATCGTTTTTTTTTCTTTAAAAGCACGTAAATTAGTTGGTATTATATTATGCAATTTGGAGCAGACATATGATACAAAATGTTTTCCCTGACTGTTTGCTCAATATGCAGTATTAAATAAATACATTATTTAAATTTCCTCTACCATTGTAGTTGTGACAAATAAAATTGTAAAATTTTTCATTTGCACATACAAATTTACATGCTGTTTTTATCTTGGATACCAGATACCATAATTTAGTAGAAATTCTACAAGTACTATATAGTTTGCAGCAAGATTTTTCTTTAACATAATTTTTGGCAATAGATAAAGAATAGGTAAAGAATATGTTGAACCTATTTTAAATGCTTATATATCACACACCTAAGTATTTGATAGCGATGCACTCGAGATTTTATTACAATGTGGCTGACTGGTTTCTCTCAGGGAATAGACAATTTATTGTGTTTTGCAATATTTAAACTTGGCTTTATTTTTTATATTTTTAATGCTCGTTAAACCCGTCTTTACCTTTTCTCTGATTTCTGACCACGGTTCTGCAGAGA